CATCGTGTGGACATAAAAATTATAATTTTCAAATGCTCTGCTTTGCTTTCAGATATTTAGTTTTTGCATAACACTTATGTATAAGTTTTATTTTGTTGATTAATCAATTTAACATTCCAAAAAAAAAAACAACGACAACATTTTTATCACGTAATTAGCTCAAATATATTCCCATCAGCACGTGATTTTTTCTAGTATTCCCCATTTCTATCATTTACCAATTAGAAAACCAGATGAGAATGAAATGTTTTATTTATTTTCATAATTTATAGATGAATTTAGTTTGTTTATTCATTTGTTAAACTATTTCAGTTTTACTTTAACATTGCATTTTATAGAATTTTTTTCTGAATAGTACTTTATTTATTTTTGTTTTTCCACAAATGTTAAATAAGTAAAGTAGAAATTAAATAGTTGTATTTTTGCTAAAATACAAGCAGAAATTGACATTTGTTAAACAAAATATATTTCCCCCGACATATGTCAAATTCTTGTAAATTATAGTACTAGATAAATAATCTAGTAAATCTAATAATGGAGATAGGGGGAAAAATCACGAGACAATCGTTCTCCTTTTCTCCCAAAAAAGTTGCCCTAGCCGCACAAGAACAAAACTCAGATCTAGCCCTTTCCGGTGGCCGGCCTTCATTGGCGATGTGAGAGGGCCTCTTTCCCCTTCCTTTTTTTTTTTCCTGTTTTCTTTCTCTAGAATTGATCTTTTATCGTTGGACATGTGCTTTTCCGGTGAGTTTGACTGTGTGTGACGGTCTCTAGGCGGCGCTTGGTTCTAGACAAAGAGGGCTCTCTGGATTTCTTCGTCTTCAGTATACCGGATCTGTGTGATTTGGTATCAGTGAGTAGCGTGGTCCTTCGGATTCGGCTGATGTTGTCCTGGCCGGTTGCGGAGGAGGTCGGTTCTGGTGACAAGCCTGTGGAGTTTCCGGCGTATGTTGGCTGGAGATTTGGTTGGTTGGGGTTCTTGATGCTTTTGGCTTCTCGGTGTCCTTGGCCCTGAATCGTTTTTGCTCTTGGATGGCTTATGATTTAGGGTTCGGGATCTGTTAGCTTTCTTCGTCGTGATTCTTCCTTCTTTTCAGACTTCTTCGCTGTGTTAGTTGGTCTCTCTTGGTCTCGTTTCTTTGGCCATGAGGTCTGGGTGTTCTTTCCTCTGTGGTTTTGGTTGCTGGTTCGGTTCCCTCTTCGTCTCTGCTGCCTTGGATCGTGGCTGGATTGGCCCGGAGGTGTGTTCGTCGTCATGGCAGGTTATTGTCATGGTGTTGTGTTCTCCTGATTTTTTAGTCCGTTTTGTATCCAAGTTTCACCGGTTTAGTTCCTAGTCTTATCTTTCGGTTATTAGTGTTTGTGAGGCGCTGGCTTATGTGGTTTGGTAGGTGGTTTGAGCTTCTTGCTCCTCCCTTGGTTTCGTTGTTTGTTTTGGTTCTAGAAGATCGTTGTTGTTGAGTTGGATTGGGTTATCAGCTTGTACTCTCTTCGAATTTTTCCGAATAAATCTTCAAGCGGCGAGGTACATCAACAGCTTTCCCTCGATGATATTGGGTTGAGTATCTTTTGAAGTTGTATCGGAGTTGTTTAGGCTGCTTTCCTGGCTTTTCTGTCCAGTTCTCATTTTGGGTCTTTGTGTGGTTCGTAAGCAGTCGATGCTCCCTCGGTCGTGCTTGTAGTTCCTGGTTGGAGCTCCTCTTTTCACAGGTTCTGCCTTTCGGGTTTATTGGAGGTGCTGTTAGGTTCGTAGTTTCTGGGTTTTTGGGATTGGTCTGGGTCTATGAAGGATTGTGGTGGCTTCGATTTCAGCCTCTTTCTCAGTTCTTGCGGGTGGTGTTCTGCTAGCCTGCCCATCTGCCTTGCTGGCTCCTTTGTCATTTGCAGTCTGTGTTGTGCATGCGTTTGGAAAAAGATTTTGGTTTGGACTGTTTCTTGGTCTTTGTCTTCATTTGCATGTCTGTTTTTCTTCGCCTTTGACCACTTGTTGCTTGTCGGGTCCGTTTATGTGCTGCCTTTTTCCAGAGTGTGGTTCCTCCGGTTAAGCTTTGCTTCGCTCATTGTCTCTACTTCTGAGTCCAATTCGGGGTCTGCCATCTCCTGGGGTTTTCTTTGTGGCGTGGTTCTCTTTGTGTGACTTTCCCGCCTTCTTCGGCATTTCGTCGAAGGCGATGCCTTGTCTTTAGCTTTGTGAGGTACACTTGATTCGCAATAAGAGGTTGTTTGGTTTGTGCTGTGGTTGTGTTGATTTTAAATCAGCTTGTTTTGGCTTTGACCTTGTTTTGGTTTTTTATCCGGTGTGCTAGACCGGATGCCTTGCAATTTTATTTCCTTCCTTGCCTTTGGTTTATTAATATAAATTCAAATGACAAAAAAAAAAAAAAAAGTAGTAGTATGGTATTGTAAATCACAAATGATGTCCAATGAGATGCAAGTACGTAGATGGTTTTGGTTCTTTTAGACATGTGGGGACCACTTGCCATTTAACAACGTCGACCCCTCTCCACCATGTCTTACCTGTTTTCTTCCTCGATAGTCGACACGTGTTTGACATCTTCGATGACCCAAGATTTTCAAGATTCATTATTTCATTTAGAACATAAATGGAAGATGTTAAGTGGTTTTTAATGAGTTTTTAAAAATTAAAAACAATTAATTTATACACAAAATATTTAAGAATCTTAATAAAAAATTATATTTTAAAAAATTTAGAATTTTAAAATGCGGGATTCTAATTGATACAATATAATTTATAATAAAAAAATTATTTAGCATTCAAACTTAACAACTATTATTGATTATGCTCTTAATAGTTGAACACAATTTACATTGTTTTCTTTGTCTTGACCCAATTTATAACTAATTTACTCTACTCCTATTGAGTTTTTTTTTCTAGAAAAATTAAGGTATTTTTTTTGGGAAATTGCATCTAATAACCATAAAAAAAATTATAATAAAATCCTTAACCAATTAATCTAATCTAATGGTTGGTGTTTTGCCACATATGCTAGTTTTTATTACTTTTCTAGTTTTTTTTTTTGTTATTCATGCAAGTAACCCTTCTTCTTTCTCTTTTTTTATTAGGAAAATTGGCAAGTACACCAAAAAAAAAAAACATAATAATTAAGCAAAACTCCTTATGTGGTACTAATCATAACCACTAATTTTAGGGTTTTTGGTTAGTTATTATGTTTAAATTTTTTTGTTAGTTATTAACCAAATTCACCTATCTTCCTAAGTCTATTTTTCTTACAATAAAATGCATTAATAGGGATGGTGACACAAATTAACCATTAAATTATATGTTTAATTTTTTATTGAGTTATAGTTGTATAATTACTAGTACACTTTTCTCTATATATTAAATGATGTCATGAGAGAAAATCTGAAATATAAATGTTGATAAATTTGGGATGACAAAAAAAAAGATGTTGATAATTTGGGACATTC